TGGCGCGACGAATGGCGGAGCTCTACAGCACGAGCGATCTACGACTACGATGGCAAGGACGAGTGCGGAGGATGGTGATTAACGAGGCGTTCATCCGGCGGCATACCCAGCTACACAGACGCGCTCGGACGACTCACATGCTTTACGGCCGCTAGGAGTCGTCCACCTTCAATAGGTACCTCTAGAGAGTGGACCGTCCAGCGGAGGGTAGCGAGTTTGGCTCCTACGATCGGATCATCAGGCTTCGCCCTCGAGAGGGCTTAAACGTGATAAAACTCAGTAGTGTCGACCAAGAAAACATGGTCTGCCCACCCCTATGATTATCATTTTTCCACGATGAATTTCGCTGGTGTCATAATGAGGGGTGAAGGCTGCACATAAAAATTGTTCTTTTCTTCTGTATATATTTAAGATTGGTGGTCGCTCGCAGTCACGTGATAGCCCCTGTACTAGGAGGGATGCAAGTGGGTTGGATAACAGGGAGTCACAAAAAAAAATAATAGAGAGTGTCTTGGGCATATCGCTACGATGTGGAGTTGCCTTTGCAAATTTGATTCAGTAAATTCCTGTCTCTGCAAGTTGTGACTGTCGACGGTATCGAGGAAGCGATCCTCTTGTCAGTTTTCACGTACATCAATTGTGGAGCGCTCTTGAAAACTTTCTTTTCAACTTTATGAGATAGTGAAAGTAAAGGTGTGTTCTCTGTCATCCTACCTGCTAAAGATTGTTGTTTCCGCCTTTCGGATGATTCGCTACCTGCATGCTGCATTTGTACATCTTCGTTTGCAACCTCTATGTGCCTTGGCTGTCATGTAGGTGCTTTTGGTAACGGCTTCAAAAATGTGTGATTGTAACGCTCATGTGCCTAAATGAGACATCTATGTGCGAATTGGTTACCACTCTCGCGTGATTGTAGCAACATCTGTTTATGCCGTGATTGTTTATGTGCATGTGTTTAATTGTAACATCTGAATGTCTCATGTAACCCATATGTGTGTTTTCTGCTGCAATGACACTATCTTTCGGAAAACGTCTTTATAAAAGAGTAGGAGTGACTTCGATGGGATTATTCTATATTCACCTATAAGAATTGTTTGTTCTACGGCGAAACGAGCAAAACGCCCCTGGCTGGTCTACCTCTGCGATTGCATGTAAAAACTTTCGTATGTAGATCAGTAGCTTGGTAGGGATACGCCTCTGAGGATGGTGACAGCTCCTCAGGGAAGACGAGTTGTGCCTCGCGGGACCCTGATCTGTCGTAGGGGAACGCGAGAAGTACGACTGGCGCACCCGGCTAGAGCGGCAAAACCCCGTCATTCACCTCGATAAATTTTGGGGGAAGCATTCCGACTCTAAAAAGAAAGATATCAAACTCATGCGTGATGCGGCCGCGAGTTCCCCTTTATGCGCTACGATGCGAAAGGGGGCCGTTGCGTCCGACAGTGGGACCGTGTGGAGACCGCGGAGGAGTGGGATGCCCGGTTGGACAGAGAGGTGGAGGAGCGGTTGCACACTTTGTCAGGATGGGAGGGCCGGTTTGCGTATCTGGAGGAACAACGTCGATTGAGGGAGTTGGAGACAGGGGGGACAGTGGAGGTGACGCCGACGACGTGGATATCTGTGGGGAGGCTGTTGTGGGAGAGGTCCGAGAGGGTGTTGTCAGAGAGGATATCAACGTGGGTGGCGGAGGAGAGGGTGTCCCCATGGGTGATGAGGGACAGGGTGTCGCCACGGCTGGTGGGGGGGAAGGTGGACCCGGTGGAGATGTTGACGGCGACCATCGCGGTGAGAACGAGGACGGATCCGACGATCGCGACGGCAGTGGCGATCACGGTGGCGACGACGATGAGGAGATGCTCGCTTTGGTCGTGAGGGACCCTACACTACCTCTCCTACGCCCCGACGACTTCGCGCAGGTTATGCTCGACGCCGACGATTTGGCGCAAGTCGGTACTCAGGACCCTTTCCCCCATACGGGCCGCAGAAGCGGCGAGAGGCGCCGCCTTGGAGGGGCGTATTCACCCCCAGCCTACCTCGTGCAGAGCCCTCGATGGTCGGGCTCGTCGCTTAGCGGCATCAGAGGGAGGGGTCCAGGGTGGTTGAGGGCGGGTCGGGCCGCAGCGACAGGGGCGGATCTGCCGGATCGATGCCCCCACAACCCGCACGGGCCGCGGATGTTAGCGACAAGGAGACGACGACCCGTGTGCACATTAGTGGTTCCCCGTCGCCTGTCCGAGGTGGTGTCGCTGGCGGATGGGCAGCTCATTGATAGGTCACGGTCCAGTTGAGGGTGGATTACGACTCCGGGACGGGCGCCTTCGCAGGACGTTTGTCACCACGGACTCAGGCTTCGGGCAGCAGCTGCGAGGGTGGCTCCGGACGTCTGAGCCTTCACATGGCAGGCCGTATGCTCGGTTTGTCCCTTAGCGACGAGGAGATCATTAGTCCTCCCTGGTGCAGGGACATCTATGGACATACAGTAGGGACAACACTATATATCGGGCGAGGAGGGGTTGCTGATGCGTCGTAGGACGAGACGACACAGCGCCATCACGGAGGTTGAGGCTCGACTCGCAGCAGAGATCGCCGTCGGCCAGACAGCATTGGACGCGATTCAGAGGCAGCGAGAGACGATTGCTGCAGAGAAGGCCGAGGACGAGGACGCTGGCACAGAGTCCGAGCCGATCGGCAATGGGGTCCGCAGACACAGAGCAGTCGTGGTTGCGGCAGCCGAAGCAGCACAGGCGGCATACATCAGCGGTGCACAAGGCACAGGTGTTGGGGGCAGTGGAGGGGGCCCGGGAGGAGCGCAGAGACGACAGTCCACCGGGAGAGGCCGCGCGCGTCCTCGTGCAGGGCGGGGCACGGGCCGCTCATCTAGAAGGAGAGGGCGATATTAGTGGGTTTTTTTTTTTTTTTTTTTTTTTTTTTGCAGGACATTYTGTTTTTTGGACACTTACTTCCATAGTTATGTTATGTTGATGTTGTTGCTCCGACTTGCTCAATGTGCAACACCAGGTCCACAGTGATGGATTGTACGATCGCATTACTTTTTTGTTAGCTACTCCGTGTTACGGTTCAGATGACGGGTCCGGTTTTTTGCTTCAGACATGTACATACGCATTTCCAGTAGAGTGTTTTTTCACTGCTTTGTTCTTCTCCACGTTCCTCTTCTACCCTCGCTTTTGCATGCGAGTCGCTGTTGTTTGGTGAGTGGTTTCTGGTTTGTTGTCGTAAATGTCCCCGATGCCCTAACCCAACCCCCATCCAACCCCCCTTAAGCCGTCCCCGTAGAGGCCGCATATTTTATTTTTTTTTCTTGTGTTGCCGACCCTCCTTCCTGCGCACCTGCGTCGACGAACCGCAATTCAGGGGACGCATGAATTTCCCCGGCCCACCCTGCCAGACCCATGTTTAGGACCCCCCCGTTTTTATTTTTTTTGACGGTCTGCCACTTCGAGGGGGTGTTCCCCCCCCCACCACCCTAAACCCGCTCCCCGCTTTCAAAACCCCCTCCCCGATCGGCCACGGTGGCGGATGGAAGTTCTCGGCCGGAGCGGCAGCGGCCGGGGGGGTCCTGTCCACGGCCACGACCGAACTCGGCTGCGGCCAGAGGGGAACATAGGTATATGCTATCCAACGATTATAGTCGTTAGGTTTGCCTGCCCTGCCTATAAGTAAATCTAGACATTCCTTATTTCGGTCCTCCAAACCGACGAATGCTACAACACTGTCCATGAACGTGCACGCCTCAGACCATCTTCTACGTATTTCGTCCTCGTTCAATTCTTCATCCCTGTACGGACAGTCTAGGGTGCCCCTCCCCTGAAATGGAACACCATCGGGTCGCAAATGCGGTGCTCGACTCCTGTTACGTCCGATGTTGTTACGACCTCTCTTAACCGGTGTTGTAATCTTCGGTAACTTCCTGTTCGACCGTGACTATTGTTGATGCAGCGACAACATAGACACAAAACAACGTTGCACTATACAGTCAATTGAACCAAAAATTCTCGCTAATTACGTATATGTGAAATATGATTGCAATGCATTGATATCATGACTACTTTTGTGTGTAACCCAGTGTGATTTCGTTAAATAAATAATAGTTGTATTGAAAAAAATAACAATTGAGTCTCATGTCATCAGTCTGCGACAAACGCTGTGACCCCTTGGACCTTTGCGAGGGATTGATTCTGCAGTTGTCATCTTCAAACCTCCCATTGCTGACTGCAATTCTTCTGCTGCAGAACAACAAGGCCCAACAGGTGTTTAGTACTCTGTTGGTGAATCGATGGATACAACGTTGACGAAACCTACCTTGCTGGTAAAAGATGACGGAGGAGTTGAGAAAACATCTTCTTTTGTATCGGGAAGGTTCTCCCTGGTTGCTTTATCAAACTCACGGATAACATCTTTGCGCTTCTTCTCGTTTTTGCACACCATTGTCGTTTTCATTTTTGTTTTTGCCATGGCTTCTCGTTCTTCCCGTACCTGCGCTGAATACTTGTCACGTAACGCATTTTATTGCTCAAAGGGTCTTTACGTTTCTCAACCCATCATTTACAAGTTCCCTCTTTTGAGACTCTTCTAACCCCAAAGTATCGTAGAAAGGTTTGCACTCCTTGCACTCATGACTCGGCAGGAGTTCCCTCGCGCTCTTATGCCGACATGTGAAAATGCATTTAGGAGGTAGAGGTCGTGTGTCGTCTTTAGATTTCTTCAGGTACGAACGACCACACTGCTGTATTGCGAAATCAAAGCACTCCCGGAGCGCACGGTTTGCCCGTTTTTTCGCCATTGGCATGCTTTGCCTCGCATTTACAGTTGTTGACTTCGTTTTCCCAATGTCGTCACCTATTGCAGGAAGGCATTGATGCATTTTAGAATCGCCTGCCAAAATCCCCCGATTCGTGTGTGACTACTAACTTCACGTCGCTCGTGGGTTGAAGAAACATTCTTCGGTGGAGGACGAGAAAACGACACGGCCACAACAGGTTCTGCCCCTTGCCCTTTTGGTTTTAAACTTCACATATTGACAACGTCTGATGCAACACCGGTATTCGAAGTTGCAAGACCATTGCTTATAGTGAGAAGACGATTGGAAGTCGCCGCAATGGCAGAGTGAGCAATTCCCAATTTTTTTTCAGCTCTGGCGAATCGTGCTAAGATAGTATCAGATTGTAATATGTTGGTGGTGGATGTTGTATTGTCCATAACTGCACATGAAACAATAAAGTGTTTATGAGAAATGACGAATATTAATGTAGACGCATACAAGTGTGAAGTGACACTGTACAAAGCAAAATCGTGTTGTTTTAAATTAGTTAGGGATTTTATTATACAAACAAGTAGACTGCATACTAGCAAATTGAATCTCATATGATGATGTGTGCAATGGGCATGAAACGTGCAGCGCACACATCTGTTTACCGAAGAAGATAATGTGAGTGACAAATATTCGGCTTAACACATTAAAAAAGCAAACACATTTCACACCAAGGTAAATACTCTCTCTCTCATGACGTTTCTCTCTCTCTCTGTTCGGTCAATGTGACACTCGTAAGCACTTACAACCGTTCCGTCCTTCAATGATATGGCGAAGGGCAGGAAATTTTGTTAAACTTTGTCCAACGTAAATAAGCGTCACATATAAAAACAGTCAAATCCACAGGAAAAAACGTCTCGCGAACCTTTTACGATCGACAGTCATATAGGGAGGGCAGACAATCACCTGCCAAAATCTGTCGCACGCCACATCGCCTGTATGACATTCTAAGAGTGTCATGATAAAGGGTTGCACAATGTCAAATAACTTATCCCCAGCAATAACACAAAATACAGGTTGATTAAAGTATGGACTCGACTTTGACATGTTGACACGGATGTGTATAAGCGTCCGTCGAAAAAATATATTTCAGTTGAGAATTTTACAACAAGTGCGTCCCCAACTGCGACAACAAAATAGCGAGTGTCTAGTCTGTCGCAATGACGATGCTCTTCTTCTTCAGCAGAGAAATTAACATGCAGAGGACTCAATGTTCGGTAATAATCCGCTCTCTCATCATTTGTCACATTCGCTGATCAGAACAATCTGCAAATGACAATGTTCCCTCCCATTGTAGGAGGTTACGTCGTAATTCTGCAGTACACAAAAGACATACGTGCACAACATTGCTCATGAAGTACATGGGGGCAATCGTGCAAGGGTGACATAGCGCAAGCAGGCCTTCACTAACCCGCCACCCCTCAACACCATACAAAGATATATAGAAAAATGAGTATATTTCACGTTTCGACGCATGATAATATTGCTCGCCTTGAAATATGAAATGTAGGATGCTTTTAGTTATTAGTTATATACGTCGTGAAGTTATAAAGCACGACAAAAAAACTCACAGTGTTTTACAACAAGTTACAATGAACCACTTATCTATCTTCAGAATGAAACATGAAGGCGAAGTCAGTGGGTGACCTGGGCAAACTACGAAATAGGACGAAGGTGACCAATATCGGAAAAAAAATGAAATGGAGAGATGCACACAAAGCCAAGTTTATCACAAATACGAATAGTGTTGGCTGCATGGGGGTTCAGGTGCAGTGCACACACGTCCGAAGAGTGCAACACCTGACGCAACTTTGTGGTATTTAGAACATCGTGCATATGCAGAACCTCGTGCATATGTAGAACCTCGTGCATATGCACATATATATATATATACATATATTTTGTTTGTGATGATATATATATATATATGTTGTGAAACAGAGCTTCCTGATAACCGGGTTGTTCGGTAAACTGTAGGCAAAGAATTGTCTGATTGTCGGAGTTGGATAAAACAGTTTTTCACAGCCCGTCATCTGTTGTCGTCTTCTCCTTCTCTACTTGTGCTTTACCGGGCAACATTGTTTGACGATTCCGTCTCTGCCTACGGCTACCGGGCAGCATTGTTTGACGATTCCGYC